AGAGGCACTTTTCTAATACCTACTGTAGATTTCTTTATAGAGTGGTTATTTATTTATATATTTATGTATCAAATTTGTCACCATCCATCTCGTTAAAAACGATTCTGGGTGGTTTACAGAGTTGTTAAAATCAATTAAAAATACAATGTAAAATGGTCCTGAATAAATAGTAAATGAATAGAGTCCAAGAATAGATGTTAATTGGCAAGTAGCTTGGGGAGCGTCATCCGGCACCAGCCACCCCTAGGATTGGGTAAGATTCTTGTCACCCCACGCAAGCTAGTAGAGCCAGGTCTTTAGTCCTTTCTGGAAAACGGGAAGGGTAGGGGCCTGCTGCACCTCTGGGGGGGGGAATATTCCAGAAGGCGGGGGCAACAACAGAAAAGGCTCTTCCTCCTGGGCCCCACCAGCCAACATTCGCTTGCTGATGGGTCCACAACATGCCCTCTCTTCCTGACTGGATGGGACGGGTTGATGCGATGGGGGTGAGACAGTCCCTCAGGTAGCCTGGACCCATGCCAGGGATATAAGTGATAGTTATATGTATAGGTAATAATAATAGTTGTGATAATGGGGACGATAACTCTATCAATGGGTATGAAAAAGCACGTAACCATGAAGAGGGTAAAACTCAATTTTTGTTCCCTAGTCGTTATTCTTCACCTTTTATAGTTCTATTACCTCTCCCCCTAGCAGCAAATTTATTAATTTTACAAGTACAATCAGAGAAAAAACAAGGAAGGAATAAAAATATCAAAAATAGATAAGGAGATTTACATTATAAAATTAGCTTAAATTATAAAAGTAGCTTTAAATGCTCCAAAATGACAACCTAAAAATGCCTCTTAAAATATCTTATATCAGTTTGAAGCTTGATGTCAGTACCAGAATAAGTCAATATTCAAACTGGATTAGTATGCAATAATTACCAACTATAGCCACCATAACTCAAATTATGTTATAAACCAAAATAAAGTTATTGTAATAATTTTTGCCTAATCTAGGAAATTTGGCAAATTTAACACATTATTTAAAAAAATTGAACATTATAAACTTACTTTAGGGAAAACCCAAATGTAGGGTTTGGTACAAACCAGTTTATAAGATTATAATCCAGAAATGGTTTGTACCGTAAGTGAAATTCTATATCAGATTTATTTTTCAAATATGAAAATCAAGGGCATTTTCCATAACTTATTTTGCCATTCTTCTGTGGAAGGAATTATTTACAGTTTCCACCAGTGAGAGGCATAGTCCTGTTTTCCAGGTATCCACTCAACTACAAAGTAAAGGCAGCTGAATTACCCAAGATTATGAACTGTGCACTAAAAATCAAAATCTGTACTAGCTGGGCAGTCTAAAAATGTAAGGAATGCATATTGCTGTGTGTGTATTTATTTGCTTTTGTGTCTGTGTGTGCATTGCAAAGAATTCTGAGACGATAGCTAGGTCACACAGTTTATTTTATTAGTGTCGTTATATACACATACCTTATATACTCCATAGGTGGCACTAGAAAGGGAAGAAATAATTCTAGTAACTTGCAAATGTTTCCCTGCCTGACCAGTTCTAGGTGGTTCTTGATTTTCAGAAGACAGTGAGATTGTTATTTGTGGGTCAAACTTTTCTTTCAAGAAATAAAATAGCTTTGATTTATCAATCTCCAATCCATCAGAAACAACTTGGGAGGGAGGGAGTAATTATGGCTGTATTCATATAAAATATAGTCTCCCATCTACTTGAACATGATGCCTTGCTGGTTTGCTCTACCATAATGAAGCTTGGGTTATTTTGCCAAGTGACAGATGATTTTGGATTCCCTTTCACCACCTACTTCATCTTGTTTTCTTTCTCCTCAACTGTGTGGTGAAGCAGTTTCTCTTTATTATAGCTTGCCAAATCCTGTTTAATGGGTCTGATCTGGAGCCAAACCAAGGTTTCTGTTGCACTGCCACTGTATCAGCCTATATTTAATCAGATTCTTGTGAGCGTGCTTTTTTCCCCCAACAGTTCCCACATAATGAACAATGTTATGTTCTTTAATTGGGCAAAGGAATGTCCATCCCATTTCCTTGGTGTCCAGATGGATTCAGTTGCTGGCATACAGCACCAGATAAATCTGCATAATTCCAAGTTCTGGAATATGTAGTGCTTTATATTTTTTCAGTTGTTCACATAATTGTGTATCTACAGATAAGAATTCCTCGTTCCCTTGAATTGGCTGTGTTTATATGCTGTGATAACACGATCACAGAATTGAGAGGGTATTTAAGCCAACAGATCAAGATTTCTGCTCGAGGGCAGGAATCCAAATTAAAATAGGAAGCAACACTTTTAACAGCTATTGTACTTATCTAGAAGAATGAGTCTGGAGCTATCCATAAATTACACTAGCTATACAAATGGCAACTGTGTAAGGTGAAGATAGAAGATAGAAATGCACATGTATTACTTAATGTTGATTTAATATAACATGTATGGGTTAATCCTCCTCCCTTCCTCTCCAACGAGTTCTCAAGGAAGAGGTTAGAATTGGTTACCCATTCATTTAAGAAATATCAATTCCATATTTGTACTGAATCTATTAAATATTTAGGTATGTGTATACCAAAGAATATAACCCAGTTAGGAACATGTAATATAAATAAAATACATAGAGATGTTTTTTCAGATATCAATAGATGGGAGTCATTAAACCTCACCCTTTGGGGAAAGTTGAACCCTCTCAGAATGAACATTATTCCCAGATTCATTTATATTCTGAGAGGAATTCCAGTTTTTATATCTGGAAAAATATTTTCAGAAAATAAACCCTTTGCTTAGAAAATTTCTATTGGGTTCTTCAATTCCAAGAATATCTTTACAGAAAATGCAGTTATCAATGAGGGAGGATTCAGTCTTCCGAATCTGGAGTTATGTCATCAAGCTTACCTATTGTCAAGTATTAAGTACTGGGAGCCAACAGGTGGTGTTAATTTTCCAATTTGGGCAACTTTGGAATATACATATATAACACCCTTGGTCTGATGGACAGTATTAGGATCTAAATATATTAAAACTCTTAATATCTCTGAAAATAATTTTGTCAGTTAGAAAGCTATGGAGCGTAATGTCTAATAAAAAAAAGATTTGACCCTTTTTCCTGTGCCAAATTGACTTTATGGGGAAACCCAACTTTAAAAATTAGGGAAAAAATGGCAATATGGAAAAATTGGATGGAACCAGGGATATTGACTTCGGACCAACTGATAGAAGATGAAGATGAATTTTTAATATACTCTGTCTTAAGAGATAAATACAGTGGTACCTCGGGTTACGAATTTAATCCGTTCCGTGACTCTGGTCGCAACCC